TAAGCGCGTGTCCGTAGAGTGGGGAAATTGTTGAGCATCTCGAGTTAGACCGATGGATTTCAGAGCCCCTTCATGCACGAAAAGACAATTTCTCCTTTCAGTTAAATAAAGGAAAAGAAAGAAGAGAAGAAAAGAAAAAAATAATAATAAAAAAGGGAAAAAAAGGAAAGAAAAAACATAGAAAGCAAGAAAAGAAAAGAAAGGCTCGGGTTTTGGTGACGACAAGGTCAAAGAATCTAATCTAAACATCTTGCACGTTTCAGGACAAATGTTCTTTATCAATGTCAAGATATATGCAACAGTATTTTTTAAAATAATTTTCAATCAGTAGAAGTACATTAATATTTAGCTTTTTCCGTGCTTCAGAGGCTGCAATGATTACACTTGAAATAACACGAAGGCTGCATGCATATTGCGATCGGCTGTTGTTTAAAATACTCCTTTTCTTTTGGTCATGTTATTTTTGTTGTTTTTTCATGTTTGCTGGTTTCCGTCGCATCATGATTTTTTGCTGGACTAAAGTATACTACAAATTTATATGTATGTTTTGGAAACAGTCGTCGAAGAAGGAATGTTATGGCGCTAATCCATACACTAATCCTCTCCGATTTTTTCCTTTAGGTAATAAAGATGATGATGATGATAATAATAATAATAATAATAATAATAATAATAATAAAGAATGAATGAAAGAAAGAAAAGTAAAATCGTAATGTTTGAAAAAGTTACATTCATCGAGTAAGAAAACACCTAAGACCGTTAAAACGAAATTTAAAGGATGATAAAAGTTAAAAATTTAATAAATAAACCAGATTTCTTTCATAACACCTTAGACAACTTCTTTTTCATTTAATCCGGACTGAATATAATTCTCTTTGTCATTACGTTTTGAAATTTTTGACAAATAGATTTTAACAAAGGAGGGAAAACTTTTGTCATCCTTAGCTAATGAATATAGTTTAATTACCTCAAAGCACAACCTAGTCTGTCAAAGGGGAAAACGCATTCTCGTTAATTTTGGTTTAGGTTGACAAGAATCTTAGAATTCAGCGGAAATAATATTTTCACTGAATAGCTTTTTTTAAACAAAAAGAAGTTCTTACATCGAAAGCAAAAAATACCATTTAACTGTTGTGTTGAGACAGTGCGAAGTTAAAGTCTTGAAGAATTAAAGAGATCGCCATACAAAATTTAAGACGGAATCCTCAAGGGAATTGAGTAATTTTAATTCTCAGTGGACAAAAACATTGTACCAGAATAATTTAAAGAATATTGCATTCTTTTTTACATTTTTCAAGGCCTAAAGGTGTAATTAGACTTCTGTAATAACACCAAAGAAAATTTATCATGGGAGTCTGAGAAAATGAATGTCAAATTTCACAAGAATTGTGAAAACACAGGCAAAATTCTGAAAATTTAATGTGTAAGATGTAACGAAACGAGAACAACTGAGCCGTTCTGCCTCGGAAAGTAGCAGCGTACCCATGGTCAATCTTAGCCAACACTTAATTACACGACGATTGAAAAAATCCCCCTAAATATAAAGATACCATGTAAAATATTAGATATTATCATCACTATTTTTATCATTTTATGTAGAGCTCTGATTGGCTTAGCCATTATGGTATATGAGCCATTATACCATGCTCTCCATATATGATCGGTGTACGCCTCAGTTTAAAATTGGAAGCTAGCTGAGTTTTTTGTTTCCGCGAAGGATAGAATGGCGCCCGAAGCAAAGCGTTTTAATTCATTTCTTAGAATACTAGAAAATGCAATTTCATCGGGAAAATAACAAAGAAACAAAAAAGCCACAAGAGCTTGTTTGAAAGTTTAACGAAAACACATGAAAATACATGGAACTAAAGTACCTTGACCAGCTACGAACGAAGACAAGTGTTGTTTCTTCATGATTGCGAAGCCACTCGCCAAGTCACTCGCCGATAGATAACTGCCGCTTATTTATCCGACATGAAGAATATAAATCACAAGCAACCAGAATACAGGCTATGCAGCCATTCACTTAAGCGAACGAGGCGTCAGTATAGCTTCTTTTTCTCGTTCAGCAAAAACCAGCTGGTGGCTTCAAACAACTTTATAACAAGCGACCGAGGTAATAGTTTTTCTCCGTTGTTCTTACTTTTGTAACTGCAGCGAAAATCCAAATTCACAGTAATTTCGACGGCTGTTACTTAAAAATTCTTTTTCTTCACATTATCTGCCAGGTTTTTTAGCTGTCCCGCTGTGTAAATTCATAGAATTTCGATGAGTTTTTAAAAGAGTTCATCGCTACAATGTTTTGATTTTTCATTCATCCAGTCCAGGCGAGTCCGTTCGCGCGTTGACAGTTTTGATAGACGTGTGACATGTGAATAGCGGAAGTCCCTTGTCTTTTCCGGTTTCTTCTAACAAAATTCAAGGAGATTTTGTGGGCGTTTTTAATAAAAGAATTATTCCACTCGCGCTTGTTGGATATGAGATGATTATAGCCAACTCGGCGCTACGCGCCTCGTTGGCTATTTACCATCTCATATCCAACGCGCCCTCGTGGAATAATTGTTAACTACATTATAATGACGGTGTGAACAAAAGCGCCAACGTTAACTGGAGGCTTCATTGGACAAAATAAAGTGATTTGTATGAGATTATCCTCCTGAGCCTCGACCTCATTTCTTTATGTTTGCTTAATAGAGAGGAGAGGTGTGACGTCACTTTACCATGGTAGCACTATTTCTGGATGACAACAGAACCAACGACGACGGCGACGGCAAGGAGAACTGCAATAAATAATATATTTATATTAACAAACAGCAACTTTGCACGTGTATCACGCCATTTTGTACATTTCTTTGCCGTCGTTGCACCACTACGACATGAAACTTCCTAATCTCACGAGCCCGGTTTATGGATTAAGTGAACACAGCACAATAATTGTCGCTTTCTTTTTCTAAACTTAGTTATAGCATAGCTAGAATATTCGCCTATTCGCCTAGTGGCGAGTGTTCTCATCACTGTACCCTTGCTCCTCGTTTTTCTAGGAATTTCCCACTTCCTTTATGCTTGTTGCGCCTTTCTCTCCACCACTAACGATTACGTTAGTAACTCGGTGCTGGTCTGCCATTCTGCGTGATGCATATTATGGAAGCCCCAATTCCTCTAAACGTACACAGCCCACGACGCCAATCACCACTCGCCTTCCACTCTGGCCTTCCTCTCCCACCTTCCTTCGGCCACGTAGATGTAGATTCCATGCACCGTCAGCAGTTTCTTGTCTGTCGATCTAAACTTTTGTAATTCAAATTTTCTACACTTCAGGGTCAGGTCCGAAAGCGCAGTATCGCAGTATTGCGGTTAACAGTTTCACGCTACCAGTAGCCATGCGGCGGCCATGTTTGTTTTCGTTCATCCACTTACTTCTACTTTAGCTGAGAAATTGTCTTAAAAATTACGTTTTTTTATAATAGAATTCGATAATCAATAAGCAAAGGAGTTCTAAAAAATGGTATTTCTTAAACGATGGATTGTGAGATTTTAGGGTGCAAAAAACCTTGCGGTAAATCACTTACCTCTGGAGCGTGGTCTAGCCGTACAAGGATGAACTCAAACAGCAAACCTGACGGCAAGGCCCTGGTCACGTGACTTCTTGACGTTCGCGGTTCGCGGGAAATGCGGAAAAACCTCAATCTTAAGGTCTCTTTTAAGCGTGACGAAGCAATTTCCCCTGTTTAAACAAAGATCGCGTCTTCCTATTTATATTCACGACTAAGAGACGGGAATGGCTGTGCAGCTCGAACTGTGAGCCTGAGTGTTTATTGCCGTCCAATTAACATATAAAGTTCAACATCATAACTAAAGAATGGAATACAAATATTCCTATATAAAGTCACTCAGGCTAAACTATTCACCTGCACTGCCTGATACGGAAACCCATAAACCCAATGGGAAAAAAATTGGGAACGTATTCCGATAGATAAGTAAAGTAAGATATAAAAATAAAAGTTGATAGTTCGAGAATTGAGATGAATACATTACAACTGTCAAAACCATATATACCTAACAACAATTGAGTCAATTAACGCCATAGCGGCTCACGTGCGTTCATACCAATAGGAAAGTATTTACATTCTCTGTCACTGCCACTACGTTTAGCTCCGCCGAATGTAAACACATTATGTCTTAGGTCTATGTCAAGTGAATGTGTGAAACGGGATCAGGTGTTCAGTTTTAAAGACGTGTAGTCCGTACCGTAGAAGAGACGGAAAGACCGACTCTCAGCAGGCAGCCGTTATATATTTGTGGCAATTGCGATTTACTCAGAGTACCTCTTTCAAATCAGCCAACAGTCCAAACAGACGGCGTTCACATTACCACCAGTCAGTCTAAGACCCAGGCGCACGCCATTGACTAACAATACGTACTGTTGCTATCAACAGAAACCGTCCTGGAAAGGGCATGACCATAATATCAGTATGTAAATAAACATGTTTCAAATTTTGACTAAACTTTAAAACTTTGACAGGCTCTTTAATATACACTACAGCTTACGATATTGAACTATTTTGCTTTTTTTGTTTAGTGTATCTAATGTAATATATTGTAAAAAAAGATAATGGGTTACATGGATCACAAGTGAGAAGCAGGTCTTTGATGCGAGAGGTGACCCATTTTGAATTTTAAATTAATAATGTTTTAATCTGAAAGTTGATAAAGTACAATTCGTTTATCGTTTGACAGTCTAATAACAACTATATAGTCATAAAAATATATTTTTTGACGTTGATAGATAATTGGTATTTTTCAGAATAAATCCTGTCTTTCCTGTTTTTTAGTGTTTTGATAAACCCCTCGGTCGCAGCTGAGCGCTTCTCAGCGGATAGACAGCAGCATTCATTTCCTAACAACATTTCTGATAGAGTGAGGAATGACGAAGTAGGTGCTCATCGAATCTGCACCTTTATTTTAAAGTATCTTACTCTGTACCTGCGACTTAACTTTTGAGAATGCTCTCCTCTGCGATTCCTCTTTACTTATGCTTGATCTCAAGTAAGGCTTTAGCAACAACAAAAACATCGTTCCCAGGGGCAATTTTTACCAAGGAAAACTCGAGATTAAAGGGATACTCTTTTAAATGGCATGTTACCCCCAGCCAGATATCATGCACTCAAGCTTGCCTCACGAACCCAAGATGCTACTCAACAAACTTCAAAGAAACTGGAGTACATGGCGCCAGACAAGAAGGCACGTGTGAGTTGAACACTGAAAGCCCATTGGATCTGATAAGTTTGGAAAGGGATTTACATTATGAATTTGGAAGTTTGTACGCTCGATACTCAAGAGACAACATGGTGAGTTTGATACTTTTCTTTCATTCCTTATTTTTGTCCCTTTTTACCTTTTCTTTTTATTTGAGCGTCATTTTTAGGGTCCTTTACCTATCCTTATTTTTGTCCCTTTTTACCTTTTCTTTTTATTTGAGCGTCATTTTTAGGGCCCTTTACCTTTCTCTAAGATGATTTTGGCCTTAGAAAAAGGCAAATTCTCGGTGATGCAAATGATCTAGCAACGCTGCGGGGTTCAGGACGTAAAGTTATTATGAATCACAGCTGTTTGTACTTTTTCAAACTTATATTCTGTTGTTCCATAAAAGTGGAAGCCATAGGTTTGCTTACCCCTCACAGCTACATAGTTAGTATTACAGCGGGTCTATGAGGGTCTTAGATTCTTATTGTTAGGGTAAAGAATTTGTAACAGTAAAGCTCTGGATCTAACCTGATGATCAACAAACTGACCGTTTTGTATAGTTTTTATTTATCACCTGTGTGTTCCAGGCATTATTTAAGTTTTACTCTTTTCATTTCGACTACCTCAGCCATTCTTGTTTTCATTTTACGGCAGCAATTGCACATTATATTTTTGAAACCCCATAAATTTATGTTAGTGGAACTTTAATGATCTCTGGACACATAATCTGTATTGCACACAATTATTTGCTTTATATTGGCCACTCGCATCGATTCCACTTTAAAAAAAAGAAAGAGTAAATTCGCAGTAATAGAGAGATTTTCATTTATGGAGTTAAAAGCACGAACTTTATTGGAAAAAAAAAATCCCAGCAATCTGCTGAAACTCGATCGCCTAGAATAACACCTGACTCTCATTAAAATAACTCTTTTTCTTAAACTCACCAAGGTTCTATTTTAAAAGAGAGGGAATGTAAACAAGATCATTCATTCACAACCAGTGTAGGTTGACAAGAGGGCTAAATGAAAATGGCACATATCGGAAATACTTTGAATAGGAAATTAAATTATTCGTTTTTTTTTTCTTTCCTAATTTTAATGAAGCCTTTTTTGTCACCCCCTAAGAACTTAGCAGATATTACAACCACGTATCCCATCTGAAATTTGACTCATTATGCTTTAAAACATCTATTCAATATATAATTTCAAATGAGGAAGTTAGGAATTAAGACTTTACGTCGCAAACTTTTTTTCTAATCCTTCCACGAACATCAAATACGCACAGCATGGAGACTGGTCACACAGTCAGGCCCATAACAAAAACGTATAAATACAGGTATCTTGAAGTATATCTGGAAACCAAAACAAAGATATATAACAACCTTTTTACCACAGTGACTTTCTAAAAGATAAAGGTTTTTAATCACACAAAATGAAAGGGTGAAAATTAGGCACCATTTCAGTACAAAAGTTTCAAATGCTCATTTAATATTTGCTCCATTTAAGTGACAAAGAAAATAGCGTCGAAAACATTCTGTAGGTCCGTAAATATGATTTTTGACTAGAAGGCAGAATTTCGTTGATAAACGTGAATTTCAAGCCTTTCACTGTATATCAATTTGATTCAGAATCGCAATGATATATGCTCTCTTTTATCACGGATTTTTTAAGTGGATAAGAAAAAAGGAAAACAAATATTTGACTTTCATAACTAATAAATGTAGTTTAATTATCTTAATTAAAAAAACTGCATTTGTACCTGTCAAAATAGACGTCGTATTTGAAATAAGTTTTTGTTTAGTTTGACTAGAATCTAAAAAATTAACGGAAATAGCTCTCTCCTGTTTTTTTAGCCGATAAGAAGCTGGAAAAAAATTTCATTCTTCCCTCGCGCTGCGGTAGTCAGGAGTTAAAGACTAAAAGAATATTCTGTATCCAAATTAAATCCGTCCTGCTTTCCAAAGAATAATTAACTTAAAAGCAAAAAAAAAAAAAGAAAAGAAAAAGAAATTGCATATATTTAGACGTCTTCAATGCTTGTAACGCTGTCGCCACTTAGCTAGCTCGCGTGTATTCTGCACTTCGTTAATATTCCGGATTTACAATGTTTCTAAATTGAGGTTTCCGGGAAAATATTTTCGTTATATTTTCTTACATTTTGGGGGAAGAGTAGATCTTGGGAAAGGCAAATAGAATCAGAAGTCGTTCGCAGGTAATAAACTTCATTTATGAGGAAATTTCCATTTATTGTTTTATAATTTCGATCTTTTAATGTTACCCCTATCTCAAATGCATTTTTATCTCCTATTTCCTGTTCAGATATAACAACCAGGAACTTTGAAATTTTACATTGATAGAATTATAATCCAGTCCCACGGAAGGTACCCGGCACTCTAGCCAATTCCACAACTCAATCGTGAATTTGCGATGCAAACTAGAGGTGCTAGCCAAATATACTGTAAATGACCTAAAAAACGCCCTTTTCAAAATAAACGCCTCTTATCTAAGAGACACCACCTCAACCCTCTTAAAATTCTATTACACGACCCTCTCTAAATGCCCCCGTATGAGAATTGTACTCTAAAGTACTAAGAATTGGAAAAAAGGAGCAAAATCATTTCATACATTCAGCTTCTTGCTTGATTAACAAGGGTTTGTTTATTTCGTCTTATTGCTCATTGTCAAGTTCAAAGTAAGGATAGACGATGGCAACACAAAAACCCTGAGCGAGGATTCTGACATCGGTGTTGGAATTTGAAAGAGCGATATAGATCTCTTGACGGCCTAGACGTAACAATTGATGAAGTGGATATTCCGCTATTTTAAAGCTAAGCTCTCTTGATATTTTTTCCGAAAGCATATTACTTCTTCTGTGCTTTTTACAGTTTTGGGAATAAACGTCTCCGTCTTTTAAACGCTTCATATCTATTAAACGCACTTTTCAGTGTATCTCCAAATTTTATCTTAGGATGACTCATGTCGATGGATTGGATGTCAAAACAATGGTGCTTGTGTAAAAATAAACAAAGAATATACCTGCGAGTGTGGTGTCCAGTGGATTGGGAAACTTTGCGAAACAAAAAACAGTGAGTATAATTAGCGTTATTTATCCTTAGCCTGCGTGCAAGCTCTTCATTTCAGAATCGAGTGCGAGTTAGCGAAGGTTCTTTTTCACAGCTTGACGGCGCGGGATCTTACATTAGAGAGACTTAGAGTTACGTTTACGGCAAACTGCAAACGTCAGATTCAAGTGGTGAATTTCTTAAAATAGAAAACGTGCAGCTAGTCCAAAACAATTGCTCTCGATAAAACTAACGTGAAGCTACGAATTTTGGGGTGAAACTAATTAACAGAAAAGTTCAAGTTAAGGTAAATCTTGGTCTCTTGGTACAAATTCACGTTTACCGTAAACGTGAGTCTAAATCTCTTTAATCTCGTTATTTTCAAATGAAGTCCCCTCTGGCAGGCATTTCATTCCTGTTTCGTTGCAGTTTTTATTTACAACTTTGCTCGGGAAAGGTGCAAGAAAATGAAACGGGTTTTCATTGAAAGAACAAGAAACGTTACTCGCCTTAGAGAAATTTTCCATTAATTTTGAATTAATTTTAAAAGGCAGGGCGGTTATGTTTGAAGCATATATATTCCTTGTTTTTCAGAAAAAAACAAAAAAAACAAACAAAAACAAAGACATCGTTTTACCGACTGAAGAATTGAGTAAATTGATGGTGTTGTATTAGATTGCCCTTTTAGAGGTGACATTCTTACACGAATTTCGTGTTGGATGTACCATTCGAAAAGCTACTATTGAAATGAAAGTCTTTTGCTTCAAAGGAAAAAAAAAATGCAAATGTAAGGCACCGAATTTCGAACGAATGGACTACTTAACGATCACTTTACTATTCTCAAGGAATGGGAATGCGTAACATAACACACAACTAGGCAAGAGGGATCCTGGGTTCTAAGTAGTTGCGACACGAAATAGGCTCCTGTTTTCAAACATGTTTTGCGCTCTTTTATAGCTTCATTTGTTTTTATCTCATAACGGGAAAAGAAATTCGATTGATCGAACATGAAACTGTTTCTTTTTCTTTGCCCTTAAAAACACCTCGAAAAAAATTATATATCAGAGACTGCTAAATTTAGAAACAGAAATTAATGATTGGGTAAAGGCTGTCAATCACCAATATCTTGTATTCCGTTATCCCTTTTAACTTTATAATGGTAACGGCTTAATCCTCTATAAAATTGTAACTTAAAAAAGTGTTGAAACCAATAACCCTTAATTCATGTCGCATTTTATTAGAAATAATTAGCTGGTTACATCTTGACGTAGCCTTTTGCGTTGCAGGCGGCCCACCGGGCCGTAAGCTTTATTACCTACTTCAATGCGTTACAAATCACAAATGCGAATTCTTCCACCTCATTCCCCGAAATCATCCTACTTCGCTTTTCATAAACACGCGCATTCTGAAGTTCAAAATCCAACTGACGTTTGCATTTTTCACTTTTGCTCCCGTCAATCATCTTAAACTGACCTCTTAGAAAACAGAATTTTACTTCAACGGGTTCAAAAGGTCTTGGTTTGTGATTTGTTTTTGGTTGATTTCTATCCGTTTTGTTTGTGTCAGTGTTTCAAGGTTCGTTATTTGTGATGAAATCTATGATTGACGGCAGCGAAAAACGCAGTGGTGAAGGCGGCTTTTAAATTTCAGAGTTCGTGTGTTTTTGAAAAGCACAGTAATCCACGTTTTGACAGTTTTGGTTCATAACTAGGGTGGTACAACTTCACGACGTTGGGGGCCACAGGAAAAAATGGTCCAGTTAGTGCTGAAGGATATAAAGGCACTCTTCTCCAGGAGGTACAAGTCACGAATGGTGTCCAGGAGTGGCAGGTGCCAGTCGAAGGAAAGTACCATGTAGAAGCTTGCGGAGCATCAGGAGGGGATGGAATTTTGCCCAAGAAAGGAGGCAAAGGAGCAAAAGTCAGCGGCGTAACAAGACTGACAAAGGGAGATAAGTTAGCCATACTGGTGGGACAAAAGGGATCAACACAGGATGGAAGTCACCCAGGAGGTGGGGGTGGTGGAACGTTTGTTTATCGTTCACCGAATAAATTTGATATAATTATTGTGGCTGGTGGAGGAGGTGGTGGAGGAAAAAAAGATGGTCTACCTGGGAATGAATCACCGGATGGCAGTGGTTCCGATGACACGAGAGGCACTAACGGGGGTGGTGGTAAGGTTTGCCGAGATGCAACCTATATACCAGACTCTGGGGCTGGGGCTGGTTATCTTAATAAGGGGGGCTGCATTGAAAGTGGAAAGTTTTGCGGGGCATTGCATTGCAGTAAAGGGGGAATTTCTTTGGGTCAAGGTGGAGGTGCTACGAATTGTGATGGTGGGTTTGGTGGAGGAGGAGCTTGTGGTACTTTCCCTGGGGGAGGAGGTGGATATTCAGGGGGTGGAGTAGCCCCTGACAAGGAAGCAGGGGGAGGTGGGTCATACAAGGCCGACAGCACATGGAAAGTGATTAAAGGAGGCTGTGAAGCTGGTGATGGTTACGTTTCCTTTACCGCAGAAGAGTAGAAAACTTTCAGTGACTTTTTCTTTGAGCTTGTCTTACTTTAATCTAAACTAAGTCAGCTTGAGCAAGCTTATAATGATAAAACCTTCAGACAATGGAAAGTGTTTCGAAATGTATGATTCTGAAAGCGCTCCCGGGCCCGTGAAATTCCAATACGCGTTTTTGCATTTCTAGTATCACTGGCTGATACTGAGTGAAAGTTACAAGAAATGAGGGAGAACATCTATCTGTGGAGGAAAAAATGGCGTACTTCAACTCACAATTCCTACTGGTATTATTTCTTCTTGGGCGTACCCGCAAATCTCCCCCCCCCCCCCCCCCCCCCATTTCAAGGGGGGGGGGGGGGGGGCCCAAACCCCCCCCCAATTTTTGTGTTTTTATGAAGTATAATTTTTTTCGTTTAACCACGTGGGCGGGTTCATTATATTCATTTCTTTATTTGGGATAGAGCAGTTNTGACTTCCGTATCATGGGTAATGACGTTGTTTGGGATCTGTGACGACAAACAAGATTTCTTGAGGTTATTATAAACGTCGAAAAACACATTTTGTCAAACGTGACTTCACCTGGTGTCACTAATATCGGTAATTATTCGAAGCCATAAGAAACAGACTGTCAACAAATGTTACGGAAATGCCGAGGAATAAATGAAACTCATATTTAAGAGAATAGATTCTGGCATACCGCCACCACACCCCAAACCCTTTCCATGTACGTCCCCGCATGTCCGAGGGTTCAATAAGATTTTCAGCTTTGTTTCGATTTTTTTTGGCTCAGATTCTTTATGAAGATTTTTTACTAAAAGATGGACGCCAAGATTAGCTTTTGCTACCTTTTGTCAACAAGGCATTTGTTCAAATAATGTGTAAATTTAGCCAGGGCTAAAAGCGAAGCTCCCATTAATAAATTTATAATTTAAATCAAACAGTAAACTTGTAATCCACAAATAAGTTAACTTGAGGGCACATTAATGTGACTTTTGAGGGAAAGGCAAGTGATTTTAGAGGGAAACATCTTACATCGACAATAGTAATTATCTTCGCTCACATTCAAGAGCCATAACGGCTCATGATCACAATAGATTGGGCCTGGAAAACAAATCAGGCCGAATTTTTATGCGTTCGACAAGTTTACTTTACAAAATCTTGCAAACAAATCGGGGGGAGGGGGGGGGGGTGTAAACCAACCTTTTATACTTTTTATACATTACATCCGAGGTGAAACAGTACTATTTATCTTACAGACCTCGTGTACCGAACTTGTGGGGCACAAAATATGAAATAGGAAAAAAAACTACACTTTCATCCCGACAAGCCTGTTTCGTGATCGCTCACCCGTCAGGGGATTTAATGATAAGAATATTCAAAACCGTCGGCTATATACTTTTAGATTACATCGTTGGGGAAAATTTTTTTTTAATGTTTAGTTGTTACGTAGCAACGCTTTGAAAAGAACACATGCCCTCTCGTCCTCCCTTGCCTCCGTTGAACGCGCTAGTGTTGGTTGTTCTGGCCACTTTTCTTCGTGCTGTAACCACTCGGGTGCAGTGAACCAATCACATTTCTCCAACTTGTTTACCGACGCGCCTCTACTTCCTAGGTCGGCTATGTTCTTGTCTGTTGGGCAATATTTCCAAGAAATATTGAGCTTCTCTGTTACTGTTGCAATCTTCCGGACTCGATTTGCCACAAACACCTTTCAATTATTTCCAGGATTCATCATCCTATAGAGTGCCATTGTACTGTCCATCCATATGGTGATGGAAACAACGGGCCACTAGTTAGTGCTTTTTGTATGTTATTGACCCTTTTTGCTGCCATGTGTCTTACCACCAGCTCTAGTCTGAGCATCGTAGTATTTCTCTTGGAGGTTCTTGACTTCGAGGTCAGTAGTCCTTGCACTGTGCCAGTATCTTGCTTAACTAGGCGTGTCGTTGCTGCAGACCAGGCCAGGCTGCTTGCGTCGGCAAAAAGATGGAGATCAATAGATTTGACTTCATTACACTGTCTCACAAGGCTTCTAGGGACCTTTACAGTTCGGAGTTGAACTATCCACTTCAACTAGGCTTTCGCTAGCTTTCCAGACACCACTGCATTCCATCCCAATTTCCCATCACAAGCCTCTCTGTAGATGTGTTTTCCCTATGCCATGGTAGGGGATAGGATGCCTAGTAGATCATACACTTTTCCAAGGTGACTAAGGATGATTTTCTTTGTGACTGGCGTATCGTTACTGAATGGCAGAATCTTCATTTCCAAGATGTCGTCTTCCTTGTCCCAAACCTGTCCTAGTATTTTGCTGGGGTTTGGCAAGTTCTGATCTTCCAACTCTTTTGTGTTTGACTCCCACTTGTGCACTTTGAACTTGGCATCTTCTAGTATGTGAGTAGTATAGCCTCTTCTTTAAACTTCCTCATTTCCTCAACCTGTCCTTCTGTCTTCATAAGGTTTTCTACGAAAATAACAACAACGGTGTATTTATTTAAAGAAATACAAAGTTACAATACTTTACGTCCTGCAAATAGCTATAATGCTAATCTAGGCAGGACAAGACTTCCCTTGCATCAAGAGCCTGGTCAGACCGGGGTAGACCGCGGTAAAAGCCTGGCCCTAAAGCTTCGGTCAGCCCGGCCATTGGCCTGGCTGGCCAAGCGANATGGCAGAATCTTCATTTCCAAGATGTCGTCTTCCTTGTCCCAAACCTGTCCTAGTATTTTGCTGGGGTTTGGCAAGTTCTGATCTTCCAACTCTTTTGTGTTTGACTCCCACTTGTGCACTTTGAACTTGGCATCTTCTAGTATGTGAGTAGTATAGCCTCTTCTTTAAACTTCCTCATTTCCTCAACCTGTCCTTCTGTCTTCATAAGGTTTTCTACGAAAATAACAACAACGGTGTATTTATTTAAAGAAATACAAAGTTACAATACTTTACGTCCTGCAAATAGCTATAATGCTAATCTAGGCAGGACAAGACTTCCCTTGCATCAAGAGCCTGGTCAGACCGGGGTAGACCGCGGTAAAAGCCTGGCCCTAAAGCTTCGGTCAGCCCGGCCATTGGCCTGGCTGGCCAAGCGATAAAAATCCGGGGAAGCCGCGGCAATACAATAACAGAGCAAATGGCCCGGCTAGACCAGGCTAGCCGGGGAAACCGTGGCCAGCCCAGCCAGTACCATAACAGAGCAAATAACCTGGCTTGAAAAGGCGATCCCGGGAATATGCAGCCAGCCCGGCCAATACCACAACAGAGAAAATGGCCTGGCTTGACCAGGCTAGCCAGGAAAGCCAGCCATAAGCTTGACCATTAGGCAGCTTTAAATGCCAGGGCCAGCTTGGCTCGCTCCTTTGATCCAGAGATTTTACAACTGCCCTCTGTATTATAAGCAGAGCAAACTAGCCCTGTAATCATAATATTGACAACCAGGAGAAAGTAACTCCACATGTAAAAAGTATTCAGCTCACACTCTAATTCATACTATCATAAATACTATGCATATTATTTCTAGTGTTGAATATGTTGTCATTAATAATGATCTATTTTGTTTTTCCATACAAGTTTATAAGAAAAAAAAAAAGGGAAAGGTAGTAACTGTAACTTATGATTCTTGACATTTGACCTAACATAACATTAAAGAAAAAGTGATTTTAAGACTGCAAACTATTTCAAGTTTTAACACTTGAATATTTCTTAAGCACTTGAAGACTTATCCACTGTTTAAGAAAATAAAATGTACAAGTCCTTTATTTTTAACACTTATCAGTCTTCTCAGGTTTTTTGACCGTGTTTTTGTTGAGGAAATCAGCCAGTTTGCTGCTAATTGGAGTCGGGTTCTCGTCTTTATACACTTTTGTCACAGTTGTTGTAGATACAAAATGAAAGAAAAACGTAAGTGTTGATTTCCCGTACACCTCCTTAAATACTTATGTTGCACTTACGTATGGTATGATATGCAAAAGAAGGATTTACTATTCACTCAGATCATAGAGTTCTCCAAAGAAACAGGTTGTTGATACTTGTACATAGAAACAGTATGCGGAAATCCAACATAGTTGCTTAAACACTGGCAATCCTAGCCCTTCAACCCCTTAGAGTGACCAACAATAATAATTTATCCTTACTTTGATATTTTTAGTTTACAACTTGCAGCCCCTCAATATTGTCACAGTCGCTTACTTTTCCAGAGTCGGCTGCCTATAACTTCAAAAAATTTTGAAACCCCTGTACCTATATGTTCAAAGCGGGAAAATTCTAATACATACAATATAACTATTTCCTTTCAACCAGATAAATAATATAACATTTAATTTTGAAGGAAAAGTTAATACATTTTCTATATTTGGCATGCATTAATTCCCTCAGCAGGATGGTACAGAATATGAAGACTATGTCATACAAAGGAGTACTGATGACTTGAAGTGAAAATCTTAATTGACCATGACTTTCATCTTCATGAAAATTCATCCCTCACCCCTTTCATGGGGGTAAGGGAAACAACACTAACACCATGAAATTGTCCTTAAAATCACATGAAACTGATCTGTATGAGCAATAACCACATGTATGAAACCTAGCATCAAGAGCCAGGGGGTTCTCTTGGCTATTATGAACGTGGAAGAAAATATGGAAAGAAAATGAAAGAAAAATAGAACCAAAAAGAAATCCCTAGCTGTTTGATTCCCTACTTGTTGTATTAATATCCGCCAACTTGAAATCTCAGTGACATCCCTACCTACATGTTTAGACAACACATAGATATACACGTAGTGTAAAGTAAGCTATCGCTATAGTCATTATTGAAAAAAAAAAAGTAAAACATAACCTGTTCAGGTGCAATCTCTAGATAGTGAGATAATGAAAAGCAACCTATACCTAGTCATGATTGAAAAAAATTTAAAAACATACCCTGTTGGTGGAATCTCTAGATAGTGTTTGCTTTTAATCCAAATGACAACATCAGCTGAATATTCTCTTTTTCGTAATTTATTTTACTCAACATACACATCACC